CCGCTTTTATTTTGCGATATTTCTCATATCTGTCATAATAAGGGAGGGGGAGGCCAATGCGTTTTCATATGTTTACATTTTAATATCTCCTGGACCATTCAACCGATTTGAATATTTTTGGTGTTGTTTGAAAGAGCATTTTATGCTCTTTTTAAAGATATTTTCAATAAGACCGTTTGCTTTAAAACAAATAAGCTAGAGGGCGTTATCTGCAGCGATTACATATTTTTGTGATTTTTGAAGAAAAGTTAAATGGAACGATACTATTTACTTCACAGATTCTTAGTCACCTTAAAATTTGGTAAATTTTAGTGAAAACCGCATCTCGATATCGCCACCCGTTCTCGAATTATAGAAGAAAATGTTAAAAACTCGAGTGCCATCAATCGGATCCAGTTACCTCATCGATAAAAACAAATCACATAACCATGGTAACTGTAAACATATCATTTACCAACGCAGAAGCGTATGATTGATAGAGCGTATGATGATTTATTTTCAATGTTTCGAATACGATGCAATTGCATGGCAAAAATGTGCAATGCAATTACGACAAAGAAAGACATTTTTCTCTAGAAGTGTTTTTAAGATTGATTTAGCGATTACGGAAAATTTGGCAACGTGTAGCCCATTCAGACATCTCTATGAATTCGTAAATCACATTGGTGCGCAATGTGATCCCACATAATCTGGGAAAACAATTGTCCACAAGATTCCTCAAGGGAATAATATCTCCACCACGTTGTTTTACATCAGGCCTTAACAGATACCGATTATGATAACAGACTGAACTATTACCATTGACTTTTAAATATGATTTGGGCAAATCCAAACCTTTTATCACAAATGCTATGGATGCATGAAGCATCTGTCCACAAGCTGATGTAAACTTGCATAATATGCATTCTTGGTTCGAGCAAAACCCACATTGCTTTCACCCCTTTATCTATTGGGTAGACTAAACGACCTGACTTTTCAAGAAAAACCAATAACCAGGGAAAATATGACAAAACACTAAATACCAGTAGAAACGTGTCCAGGGCCGAGACTTAAGCAGCGCTTTTTTTTCGTCGAAACTAGATTAAATAAATGCATCGAGGTTTATGGAAGGCATTTCGCACATTAGTGAGTTATTTTTGCCAAAAATTTAAGTTATTCTAAGTGTTTTGGTTTATTTTGTTTTATTATCATTGTTGATGTTTCATTGATCCGTTGGCTTTTCAACACGCCTCAAAAGTAGTTTTGAAGCAGTTCTAAGCTTGGATAAAGTGTGAAGGAAGGTTCTAGATAATAAAATTTTTGTTCTCTCTTATTTGTTTCCTAAGGTAACTTGATCCGATTAAGATATACGAATTTTTAACATTTTCTTTTATAATTCGAGAATGGATGGAGATATCGAGATGCGGTTTTCACTAATATTTAGCAAATTTTATGGTGATTAACGGTCTGTGAAGTAAATAGTACCGTTCCATTTAACTTTTTTTCAAAAATCACAAAAATATGTAACCGCTGCAGATAACGCCCTCTAGCTTATTTGTTTTAAACCAAGCGGTCTTACTGAAAATATCTTTTAAAAGAGCATGAAATGCTCTTTCAAACAAGACCAAAAATATTCAAATCGGTTGAATGGTCCAGGAGATATTAAAATGTAAACATTTGAAAACGCATTGGCCTCCCCCTCCCTTATTATGACAGATATGAGAAATATCGCAAAACAAAAGCGATGCGGTATTATCCAAGCTACTAAATGATGTTGTCAAAGTTATAGCTCATCGTCTAACTTTCTGAGATAGCGGGAATTTTATGTTTCTCAATGGCAGTTACGCCCCCTAGGGGTCGAATTACGAACTTCAAAATAATTTCCAGCCATTTCTCTTGGTCACTTTGCTTATAAGGATTTTTTTCCCAAACCTCTAGGCCTTACCGTTGTCGAGATACAGCCGCTCCATACGCTTAACGGGACAGCCTGTATACCAAGTGTAAGAATAAAAAAACTGTATTATGAAATATAAAAACTAAATATAATGAAATCAGTAGGCCAAAACGGGCGATTACAAAACTATTACACATAATTAATGCTGCTTTTAAACAGAAATACTTCCCAAGCATATGGAAAGTTGCTGAAATAATAATGATACCAAAACCTGGTAAACCCCCCTACAGATGTTACATCATATAGGCCAATCTCATTATTACTCTTACTATCAAAACTGCTTGAAAAATTACTATTAAAAAGACTAAAACCTGTCCAACATATCAATTTGGGTTTCGGAATAAACATGCAACAATAGACCAAGTGCATAGAATAGCGAATACAATCGAAATAGCAATGGATGAAAATAAAGTCTGCTCCGCCGTATTTCTGGATATTGTACAAGTTTTCGACAAAGTCTGGTTAGATAGCTTAAATTACAAACTAGACCAAATACTACCATCAACGTATAGTCAACTATTAAAATCGTATCTTTCTAATCGATATTTTAGAGTAAAATACGAAAACGCTTATTCAAAACTACATGAAATACGAGCCGGAGTTCCTCAAGGAAGTGTGCTTGGCCCAACACTGTACTTAATCTACACATTTGACCTTCCTCAGGTACCAGAAACTTTAACAGCTACATTTGCAGATGACACAGCGATCTTGGCTGTTGCAGAAAATGAAGTAGTTGCAGCAAATAAGTTACAATTGGATTTAAATTCAATAGAAAACTGGACTAAACGATGGCTAATAAAACGACATACATAAACTTTACTTATAAGAAAGTAAACTATGTCCCAGTACACCTAAATGGCAATGCAGTCCCTTACTCCGACACCGCAAAATATCTTGGTATAACGCTGGATGCCATCTCATATGGAAAGCTCACGTCAAAAAAAAACGTGAGGAACTTGATATCAAATCTAGACACCTATATTGGCTTATTGACAGAAAATTAACGCTATAACTAAGTAACAAGTTGCTAATATACAAACAAGTATTAAAACCAAAATGGACATACGGAATCTAACTGTGGGGTTGTACCTGCAAGACAAATGCAAGTCTGATTCAAAGATTGCAGAACAAAGTACTAAGGTGCATAGTGAATGCACCCTGGTATACCTATAAGAAACACCGATCTCCATCACGACTTGAAAGTAGCATCGGTGTCATCAGAAATTGCATCATTCGCATCTAAACATGAGAAGAGAATCCACGATTAGCTTCTCGACAACGAGTATGTCCTGCGTCGCCTTCAGAGGATGAAACCGTTCGATTTAGTGACCTAGTGCCCTAATCGATTCAAACGCGAGCAATAGTGCGGAATTATACCAAAAACAATAATACCCTAAACGTGTGTTCCGCGTAAGGCAAGGTGCGCGTTTTTGTGTTTTGGTCTTAAAACGATAAAAATATGACAATATTTATCTATATTATGGGTAAAGCAACGTGGACCACTGGGAAAAGCTGCAAAACATTATCCAGTTTAATTTGGTGTTAAAAATAAGAAACTAATTAGTGTGTATTTACTAGGTGTTATACAATTGTGCTATGCATAATATAGAAAAAAAAAACCTTTTTGACATTTTTTGAAACAAGTTGAGTGTGCTTAGAACCATATCAACACGATCTGTAGAACCCATGGCATTAACATAATGATGACCAAAATGAAATGGGGAAATGTTGTATCAGAATAAATTAGTATGTTTTTAATGAACTTTAAAAGAATTTAATTTATGATATGTAAGTGGAAAAGTTTAAAATTTTTCTGAATTTGACAATCGGAAGTCTCTCCTTGAAAGTATTATACAATATTCTCAACTAATAAGTTATTATTTTTATTTAACATTATTTATGTTATGTGGCAAAATTTGTTTGCATACAAAAGACTATGTCAAGGCTTAAAAATTGTTCGGTTTTAAACGAAACGATATCGAAATACGACTCGGCGACATTATCGGAATGGCCGTAAATAGTTTAAGTACCGTAAAATATGGGACTATTTAATAGAATTATGATTAGAGTTATGGTTGTGTGTAATGGATGGCGTTCGGTTGAGTAACAGAAAAAAATTTCTCTCGGACTCGATAAGGAGAAAATCAAAAAAATCATTACTTCACCTTTAAGCTCAGGATTTATTATTACGAATATAAATTCGGATGCAAATTAATTTAATCCACTTTAAAGGTACTATTTTAGGTAGAGCTTTAATTTGATTCAAATTTATACTTAAAATGCGTCTCTCAACAATTTCGAATTAATCAACACATCAAAAATATCCCGTACAAAAATAGAATCTTGTTCAAAACTGAGGACATGTCGTCGCAAAACTGATTTCGCACTTTGAGAGCGTCCCTTTGAACTCGACACGTTCAAAACCAACTTAAGACGTTGACAGTGATTAAACAAAGTAGCTTAAAAAGGTAAGCAAAGATGTTGACGAAAATAACGGAAATATCTTTAAATTATAAAATTAAAAATTCCAGTTTTATACATTTTTTGATAAATACATTATTTCTAGAATGTAGGTCTTTGGGTTTCTAGTTTTAGTTCTTCCAGTTAAAAACGTATAACAGACGAGATCTGTTTTGATGTTTCAAACGCCCACACGACGCCGAACCGCCCGGTTTACTTGTTGCTTACTCCTCACCAAATGTAACTTATCAATAGAAAAAGACACCGATTTCCCTTACTTCTCCTATTGATGATACACAAAGATTCCGCCCTCGCGACAAGTAGAAAAGAAAGATGTAGGTGTTTCTTCGGTTAGATGGCATAAGTCAGATAAAACCGATCTTACAACAAGATACACGACCGCATTTAAACGATAATAAATTCTTTTAGAAAAACATCTCTTTTTTATTACATTTGTTTTGTGAAAGTCACATAGATTTTTTTTTCTTTAAAATACAAGAAAGTTTTATGTTGTATTGATCTTGTTTTTTTTTTATGGAAATTGTTGAATAAAAAAAAGAAATAATAAATCAAAAATTTAAATTTAATTTTAAAAATTATATCTTACCTTACAATGTCCTTCGACGCAAACCCCTCTTATTCCTAATGGAGCTGATTTACCTGTGTTTGTCGTTGGTTTAAAGCACGAAGTTCCATCGATTACGGTTTGGTTAAGAGTTGCATAAAATCCACCACCAATTGCTAAACAATTTAAAGCGCATTCGTCTCCTTCTACAAAAAAAAGAATAAAACAAAATTAGTATAGATTTTGATTATAGTGAAAGAACATTTTGAGACAATTAAATTCTGTAATATAGAAATCCTCGAAGTGATTAATGTGAGATTAGTCGATATAATCGATTTATAAAGCTTTAGAACGCCGTCAATCATTCATCCAGCCTTCACAAATATAGCTCAGCTGTATATACAAAATTTATTCGCTCATATTGATTTGAAATTAACAATGTCCTAAACATGGCATGTAATTTCGGTGAGTCAATGTGACTTTGATAAATTAAACTGTAAAATTATTTTTGGTCCAAACTGGTCTTCTACAAATTTATTGAATAACGTGTATTATGTGTTGCTCGATATTTATGCGATTAATGAGAACTTCATTAAGAACTAAAAATTTGTGCTGAAGTTATAAAGAAAACTTCATCAACGAAAATCAACTCGTCAACCCGAAAAATCCGGATAAATTTACATTATCTTTTCAGTACATTCTTTGGATATTCAAGTTCGTGTATTAAATTTTAATTATAAAGGGTTTAAGTGGTATAATTGGATTTATTCCTTATTACAAACATTAATTTATTATTTAAAAATTGTCGTCTGGAAATATTTGGCGTGAAAACACTACGTGAATAAGGTGGTGTAAATTAAATTATGTTTTTTTTTTGTACGCGATTTTCAACAATACTTTCATTATAATCGAAAAAAATCAGATATGGTGTGATCCTCTATTAAGCTAAATATTGGAAGCTTTGTATTCTAAATGGCAAAAATGCACATTTCTGATGTGAAGCTGCGACTTGCTTTTGCAAAACATTTGCGGGTCATTATAACTACTAAATTTCATATTATTATGAGCAATGCTGGTCCTTTATATATTTATAAGTGTTTCGTCAAAAATCCGGATTAATTGGGGAAAATAAGCAGTTTGGATTATCAAATTGTTGGGATTTTCGAAAATAACCCAGAAAATCTAGAAAATGTATAGTAATCGGTTAAATACACATATGTATATTAAAAACACTGTTTCATAATTATTTAAACTGATTTGACTCCTTCATTAGAGCCGGACTTTATTAGTTCTTCATTGAAATCTGTTCTCATTATGCTGCACATATAATCTCTAAATTAAAACAAATCATTCGAGTTGTCTTGTAATTCAAACGTTTTCACAATACAACGTAAGATAAAAATTATGGGTCGTGATATTCAATAAAGAAGAAACCTGAGACAAAAGAGCTAATTATAATTTCTATTTAATTTCAATGATGATGAAAAAACTGCGAGAATTATTAATAAATATGTAGACGTGTTTTACTTCTAAACAGAAAATGCCAGGAAAAAGATTTCCTCTTACTTTTGCAATAAGGGGTTACTGAAGTTATTTAAAGTTAAGAAATTGCATTAGCCTCTGGCATGAAACAGAAATTAAAACAGAATTACACTTCATGTGACAATTGATGTTTGTTTTAAATTAATACCGTTATTTATTTGCATTCGCGAAATCTGTAAGTGTTAGAAATCGCAGCTGTGACGTCCTAATTTGGTCAAATGTTATATCAAATGTTACGCAGTGTACGTTAGTAATGTGATAGTTTGAAGATTGTATCAAAATTGTGAAATTTTTCTCTTAGATAATTAAAATTATTAACATTCAACAAATATGTTACGTCACATCCTGGCCAAAATAGACCATATCTTAAATGGAATCCATTTCTTTCATTTACAACGCTTTATTATTATGTAAAAATAATAAAATGAATAGTTTTGAGATGTTTACTCTTTGTGGAGGGTGTTACTTTGTCAACATTTTGAACAAGAAAACTTATTAACACTGAAAGAATCGAAATTCTAATCATGATGAGTTTTGGAGATAAAAAAGATTCCATGTTTTCAGGGACTTGATTATCCGAATTCGTGCTTAACCGTGTCCATGTCTTTCAAAAGAAAGTTTGTGTTTTAAAGGATATCTTCATTGAACGATTGCAGATATCGATTTTTACCAAATTCAAGTCATGACAAGTCATGATTTGATGTGTTCAGTATGAGATGCCCACTGCATCTTTCGCTTTGATTTCTGGTATATCCTTTGGAAGCATTAAAGAAGTGTTGGAAAATATCTATAAGACTACTTTTCTGAGCTTATCTCGAGAAGATAACAGTTATTGACCAATATAACAATTGTGGGGTTTTGTTGATATCTGTTAAAAACTTTAGTAGTTTGTTTACATTAAACTGTAAACAAACTAATAGTTTGATTCATGATTAATACAAAAAAGGGTTTCCCTTGTAGTTTTCTGTGTTCTTCTATAGGAATATATTAGTTATTGCGACACCCTACATCAAATTGTTGTACATCACACTTCATAAATCCCAAAGATTAATTTAAAATGAATTTCAAGCTACCACCTCTATAATATACGAAGCTGTAATAATAGAAGATAAAGCATTACAAACGTAACTAAAGTACAAAATCAAAATCGTGTCACCGGTCTCTCTCGCGTCAGGAGCAGCTATGGTCAAACGGCTAAAAAAGTTTGTAACTAAGCAGCTTCAAAAAAGGAAAAGAACATAAAAGAGCCTTGATGGAAGATAGAGCCAAGAACTGATAGAATACGGTATCGATATTCTAGCGAACCTAAATGACTTGCTAGATTTAGTATTACTTCATACAGTTTCAATTTGCAAATAAAACCAAGAACAGTATTTATAGCGGTAATAATGATTTTCAATAGATGGTATAGTGATTCTAAACAACCTCAACACAATACACTGTAATGGCTAGAAATTGGTATGGTAACTCTACCATTAGCAGATGCAAACGTCAAATCTGAAGGAAGGGGTAAAAAAGAAGAGTTACAAAGAAAAACACATTTAGTTGATAGCTTGCAATCAAATCGTCAGTTGAACTTTAAAGAAGTTGTTAATAAAAAGTAAAAGAGCAAGAAATATTTACTCAGCAATCGGCGACAGGAGCAGTTATGGTGAGATGGGATGATAAACGTAATAAAATTTAATAATGCTTTATAGCCAAATGCAGTTATTACCATAGTAAGTCATCGTGGAGGTATTGAAAAACCCATGGAATATGAACATTGAGTATTTTTTATGTAAAATCGAAAAGAATATTGATCACTTTTCGCACCTCGCATTCCATTAAACTTCGCCATCTTAGGGCTTCTTAAAAACGTGGTGAGGCATTGATGCCACCCTGAGCTTAACGTGTTAATTCTCGTAATTCCAAACTATTGGCATTGAAGGATCAGGATAGAACCCGACCTTGTATTGCCCAGCAATGATTTTTCGTGACTGTATGGGCCGGTAGTCTTGGCTACCTCATAAGACTCTACATCATACCTCCACAATTAGGTGGTAAAGAATGCTAGAATATTTTTGTAAAAGTAAAGAATGTCCCACAATGTTAAAATTTTGGTTGCAACCTTAGAATTTTTTGTTAAAATGAAAAACTCAACTTTATAAATTAGAGATATGCTACGATAACAATTACAAAGTCATTCTAGAGCTAGAGGTATGTATAGAGGAATTACTATACGCGTCTGCTAAAAACTAAAGTTGATGAGAACTCTCAAAGAAATTTTTATTAGTAATCATTACTTGAAAACCGATTGATTTAGACATAACATCAAATTCTAATTTGCTGTGCTGAAAAAATTCAAAGATACAAAATACTATGTAGATACTATTAAAACCATAAACCTTAATAAGAATTGAAAGAAATAAAATATTTGAACTTCTCAATAAATCACCTAAACCGAGGATTTATAGGAATAAAGCACCTCCAGTTTTTGGATTTCCCACTCATTTTCTTTCATCCTCAATAAACTTTTGATTTGTAATAATGTTGAAATTTGAAACGACATATTATTTATGTTTCTTAACTTGAGTAATCAGAAAATGTATTATACAACAAATCATTTAAAAATGTTAATCTTTCTCCATCCACAAACGTCACTAAAAGACAACAACAAGAAATAGATTCTTGTGATTATTTTAACATTAATCCAGGTCATTCAGGAAATCTCAGTGCCACCATAACGACAGACATTAAGAGATCAATATTTTTGCTTGAATTGACGTTATTTCAGCTTAAACCAATATATCAAAGAAACTTAAAGGATGTTAGATATAAATAGAAATCGAATATAAATTCTAATCTTTTAATTTTCACAAGTATGCAACCCAAATGACGTATTAGAAGTTCAATTGGGTGTTTTTTAATCAAAAGTGTTTCATATAAATTATTCTTAATCCTTACCTTTTATATATGGTTCCCAGATGTAGGGGATTCCCTTAAAGGGTCTATGATTAAAACTCGCGCATTGTTCTGCTCGAAAATCTCTATGAAATGGACATTCCTATAAAAGTTATAATGAGTGTTAATAAATTAAATTAAAAAATTCTTTCTAAATTATCATAAATTTAGAACTTTTAAGTTACGATCATCCATAAATTATTATTCGTTCGTTGCTCAAGAATTAACGAGCGCGCCCACCGTTCATAAAACAACGAAGCCCAACAATTAATTAATAGCTTAATCGGTGAATTAATCGCGAGGAGAGACCGTCATAGTGTTAAACGGGGGCTATTAGAAAGTTAAGATGATGGAACCAGATTAAACACAGGTAGCAAACGACTTGTGGAGGCTCAGGTCTGGCTTCTTTAACAGATCAACGAGATAAAATGTGGACCGAGAGAGCGACATCTCCACGATGGTCGATTGGAACCATCGTTTTCTTTCTTATATTATTAAAGCTTTACCTCGCGGAACGAAAAGAACGAGAAGAAAACCGTGAGATATGGCACCGTTAATGTATTTTACGAGTTTGTATTTCAAATAGGCGGTGAAGTTAAGAAGTAAATCAAGTTAACGAGATGAAATAATTTAATGGATATTTTAAACTTATAAATTTAAACTTTTTTATTTTTATACTTACTTGATTGTTGCATAAATGAATTCTTTTGTAAAGACCAACACAATGATTTAATTTCTTCACTTTTTCGTGACGTCGTTTTCTATGTTTATAGGCGAATCTAAAATAAAAACAAACAGAAAATAATGTAATTACTACTATTGTTCTATTTCCTAACAACCAAAGATTCGAAACAATCGGAAATAATCTATTATTAAAGTTTTTTTTTGTGTTCAAAGTTAAATCAAAAGACAATGTAACAAGCGCTGGATGATCTCGGTTTAGAAAGAAGATGATACATTCCAAGAAGAACCGAAGAGATGACATTGCTGCGGCCGGTTTCAAATACACGGTACCAAAGAGAATCGACTGTCCACGAACTAAGCAAACGGCCTGTGTAGGGTGTATTTGACGTCGCGTTGATTTAGTGCCGCATTGTTCCGGAGCACTGAAGTGGTCAGGGCGTGAGATAGCGTCATTTCCGGCTTTGAAAATTCCGCGTGACACCGCGTGCACGAGCTCTCCTTACCTTTAGAAGGACCTCTAACGGCCTTAAATATTACAAATGCCTTTCAGAACAAATTACCACAAAAAAAAATTAAGAATTTCAAATACAAGTCAAGAAATTCTCCGCCATCAATCGATTAAGTATTGCAACAGCTGCAGTTTAATTGCAATATCTAAACTATCTAATGAATCTAATCTAATTTAATAGAAATTTACCGAGATATCCACAGAATTCGCTCTATCTAAGAGACATCTAAGGGGGTTTTAATAGGATCCTTAATTAATTTTAACGCTTGGTTAAAGACTTGAGCCAACGTTCCAGCGGCGCCGTCCGATCAATTTTCCAAGCGATGGCAAAAATAATAGGACAATCGGAGGTTAAAATAAATAGGAGATAAACTCGTGAAGGTAAACCAGGAAATGGCTGGCCTCGGCACATCTCTCGTCAGGTTGGGTCGTACGCCAAAGGCGCACCCCACCAGATTAATTTGAAAGTTAACACGGAGGATAATTCAGATCCCTTATCGTTGTACCGGGGCCAACCATTAAGGTCTCTCATAAATTGGTTTTCAATGAGGAGCGATGAATCCCGGATAAAAAATAATAAAAACCGAGACAAGAAGGGTTAATATCTCGATGTCGAAAAATTACTCGCGGTCTGTATCACGTGCATTAATCAACGAAAGAGCTTTCTTTTCAAGAACTCTAATGAGACGGAACTAAATCTCGACTTGTCAGAGAAAGAATCATCGAGAATACATGGAGAGTGAATTATTACTATTATTTCTTTTTTTAAAATTACTTTCTTTTTTCTTTATTACAAACATTATTTATATTCGATATAACGGACTAATACGATGAAGGGAGTGTCCGTTATATCCAAACGTCGTAATTTGCACTGCTCGAAGGTCCGTTCGTGACGTCACGTATAGGTAAGCAACTACTTTTAAGGTTCATAATATAAAATTAATGAAAAATATACAACAATCTAACGCTGATAACAACTAAAACTAGAATTAACAATACCATTAGAACTAACACTGCACCTAGAACTAGAAACATTCAGGTTTAGCCGTACGCCTCTTGAGGCGGCTAAACCAGAATGTTTCTAGTTCTAGGTGTAGTGTTAGCTCTACTTTTAATTCAATAAAAATGTACAACAATCCAACGCTGAATAACGATTAAAACTAGAACTAACGCTAGACGTACAACTAGAAACATTCGTATTAACTTTTTACTATATTAATAATAACGACATAACGAGAAAAAGTTAGTTCATTTGAAGTTTAGTGTCAAAATTTTTTAACAAAGTCTACTTTTAAAATAAGTTCTTTGTTAATAACATAAAATTATCTAAAATTATTCTAAATAATATACTAATTTTCTAAAATTTTTCCAATTTTAGCTTATACAACCAAAATGACATAACCTGTTTTTAAACACTGTTAAAAGCTCCCAATTACACGCCATACCTGACAGGATAAACGTTCACTTTAGACATTTTCGATTTTCGATAGTACATTTTAAACGACAGGTTTAAAGACTTATGTATCCATTTATGCCGTGAAATTTTGAAATTTAAATTAACCCAACGTACAATAACGGGGAGACCCCGGTCGAACAAGGGGCGCCTAATCAATTCAGGGATTCTTCTGTTCTCTAAGGAATAGAGACGGTTCCATTGAACGGAACAGACGATGTATAATGGGCCAGGCGTATTCAGTTTGGTTTTTTGATTTAAACCGAGAGCGCCCCTTTATTCGTTACCGCTTGTCTCTGTGTATTGACAGAGCCCATTGATCGTTGAATATTTCCGCTAGGACTTAGGGGAATAGAGACACACGACGGAGATGGTCATGAACAACGTCGAGACGGACGACTTCTTCATCTTCTTTCGGTTTTCAATGCGCCGTCTATCTTCTTTAGGGCTTAATTAAGAGGTGACTTGCTTTTAGACTTTTTCAGTTCTCTTGATCACTTCATTAGAAAAAGAAAAAAGAAAAAGTCGTAATTTTATTATTCGACGATTACAGATTTTTTTTTGTTGTGCAGAAAGGAAGAAATTTGTTAAGTAATTTCTTAGAGGTGAGAATCTATTAACACCAATTGGTTACTTGTTCACACTTGTCACAACAAAATGCCATTTAAGGAGAACTCGTAAAGTGCACGCACTTTAAATAGCGGCCAATCTCAAACGTGGTTACAAATATAGCTAGAGCAAAATGTGAACCGAAAGCGCCATTAGTCTGAAAGCCAACCGCTGAAAAGGATGGCAAAAGAGGAAGAAGAGTAGTTGGATTTTTTGAACTGGTAATTGCCCATTACGAACGACCGTACGAGTGTGCTGTACGCTCTTCTATGGTAACAGTGTGTTATTATGCAATTTAATCGGCTGCATGCCGCGTTTGCTGACAATAGAACCGAACGGGCAGAGAGCGAAATGGTCGCCTATTTGTTTTTGTTGTGCTTTTCGCTGGTCTCCTCTCTCGGACGCGGCCTCCGGCAACAGTAATCGGCAACATCGGCTATTGATCTTTCGCTCCTGGCTACTTGAATTATCGAGTGGGATGATAGATTGGCAAGGAAATTGGACGGACCAGAACAACATAAATTGTGGTAATGGGTTGTTTCATGTCTCGCGAACGATCTTCTACTCATTTACTTGCATTAACTGATCAGGATTTTGATTTAAGAACATACCCGGGTCATTTCCTGAAGACGTATATCTTATTTTCCGAAACGTCTACTTTTTCAAAACGAAACGGATTCTATGAAAAGTAATTTTATAAGTGGACTTTCGCTAAAATTGGATAAATCACAACGGGATGATGACGAATAACCCAACGTCGCTACGAACTCGTGCTACGAATTATATTACAAATAATGGTCACGCTTCGATGATGGCTAATCACAAATTACGCTTGATATACCGCATCGGTGATTTTGCGACGATAATCGCCGCCATACGTCGACAACGTTATGTCATACGGTAATTTTAAAACTGCCTAAAGATCAACGTTTATGGCTTCCGCGTTGCCCACTAAGGTCACACACATTTTACACTTAAGACTTTTATTGAAACATTAACGAAAATATTTTCTTCCTTGCAATTTACTATCCTATACGTTGCAAATTAAACCACTTTGAAGTTAATTTTAGTTAAATGACTAATTGTTATATCAAAAATGTGTTTTCGTGTAAATTTGAAATAAGAAATATTATGTGATACTTAGCTTTTCCAAGATTTGAAGTTATAATTCGATATAAGTTGAGAATTTGAGTAATGATAACAATTTTTGCTTATTGAGGAGAAATTACACTTTAACATCAACCTAATTAAACGTTTAAGGCAGCAGTGTAGCTGCACTAGACTATAATATATCCCTCGCATTAGCTACCAATCCATTATTATTCAGCATTTGCAAGAGTTGTGAAGAGATAATTGTTGAGATAGTAGAAACAATCATTGAGTATTTGGAGGTGATTGAGATTTATTAAAACCAGAGAACCATTAAGAGAAAATTAAGTTTTGTTGAGAGCATTCGGAGTCATTAAAAAATATTAGGAGTCATTCGAATATTGGGAGCAATTGAGTAGATAGTGTGAGTAATTGACCAATAATAATAACAATATAATAAAATTTTGTGGGTTTTGTAGTAGTTATATGGAATTTTATAGTATTACATAGAATTGCATGCTATTAAATTAAAATTGCATGGAATTTAAGTAAAATTGTATGCAATTTGTTTTTGTATAGTTCTAGAATACTGACAAACCATATAAATAATTAAATTCATGAATTTATATATTGTATATATGTAGGTATAATACATACATTTTTCTTGAAGTTTAGGGATTGGTATGGCATTAGAAAAAATAGAATGGTATTTCTTTTTTCAGTGTACTGAAACTAGGCATTAAGTTGCTTTTCGTTCCGAAAAGAGTTAGGATTTATTGAAAGTTATTGAAAGGTAATTGGAACAACAGGGAACCATATGAAGTCATTAGTGGGAAATATTAAAAATCAGTGAAAAGATTTTGGGCACAATTTCGAGAATAAGATCCATTAAGATTAAATGAAAGATGTGGTAAGAAGACAGGTTCATGTTAATGAAACGTATTGGGTGTCGCTTAGAGCCATTAGAAGCCATAGGAGGCTATTAAGCAGGAATTGAAAGTGACTAAGTGTTGATTAAAAGATATTGGATACAACTTGAAACTATTTACAGGTATTGGGAACTATAGAAAATCATTTGTAGGAGATGTTAAGTGTCACGTGACGCCTTAGTCTCTTTTAGTAGCACATGAGAGGTGATGAGCGCCGCTGGTTAGGTTTTAGAGGTAAGTATTAAGACCAATTAAGCAGCCAATTAAAAGATATTGAAAGGAATTGAGACCTATTCAGGATCAATTCGGAACCTTTCGGACCAATTGAGTGCAAGTGGAAGTATTGGGAGTAACATGTAATGTTGAGCAAGGATTGGAAGCAAATGGCAGCCACTGAGAATTATCGAAAGGTATTGGAGTAATTCGAGGGTATTGGAAAATATAATGAGTTATTAAAGTATATTCACAGCAATTTGGAACTATTTAGGAACAATCAGTCTAAAACAACTGCTCTTATGTGATATCATAATCAGAATCTGATAAAGAAGTGGAAAATTATAGGACTTGAACACATAAACTACTGTTGTAAAACTGTAAAGACAATTGAAGCTGATTGCAAGTAAGTTTAAACCTATTTAATCATTAGTCTAAGTAGTAAAAGCTTTGTAAGTAGTAACATTGTATTGATTACAGACATGAAGAAATTAGCTGCTCTAATCCGTTCAATAGATTGAACAACTAATTGTCTTGTATGTAATTAGTGTGGACACTTTATGCAAAAATTATTCCAGACGTATTGATATATTTGTTGTCGGTTATACATACAGAACGGGTTAACATTGTACTACATGATAAGAGGTGATTAATAAACAAATTGAACAGATATAACCACAGATTAGATCTTTGAAGCAGATAACCATTATAATTCCCAAAGCATCGACAACCCGAAAAGTAAGACTTAACCCCAACACAACTAGGAGAGGTATAGAAGAAGGTTACCCTCTTCGATAGCAAGTCATGACTTAGTACAACCAATGCTCTGAAAAAATACGTGTATGCCACTCCACCTGTCTTCAGTATCAAGGGTGTTACTTAAGAAGTATGTAAAAACGATCAAGTTAATAAGTAACAATGGATCCACAAGGAAATGGGGCTATAATTAACATTCTGGTGATCTGTCTTCTAAACTAGTACAACTATGGTGAACTTCATTGTTCCGAGGAGTTGTTTTTTTTAATAAATAATTACATTTCTTAACTAAGTAGAATGGGATCCGATTTTCCCCAGCTGTACGTTTGTTAGAATAGTTCAACAAATCAGGCATTACATCTTCCTCCCTCATCGGTAACATTAAAAACGAACAGTCATAACACTTCTACAAGACAACCTCAACAAAAGGCATTGAAAGCTCTTACATAAAAGTAGTCATGATGTCCTGTGGCAAATCAATAGCATTACTGCAGTTTACCAATAACCTCAAATTCCTTTCCTGAGAGGTTACCTTTAAGCAAAAATTATTATGTTTTTGTTATCTTTCGTCACTTGCAATACTTTTCATTTTGTCCAAGGTTTTTGGAATTCATTTGTTTAGAAACTAAGACTCGAGGAATAAAAATGTTCACAAATGGGATTTATCGACTTTTGCAATCTTTGGTATAGTGTAATAAATTTCATAATAACAAGTCTCAACTACTTACTTTTCTTTACTATCACCACTAATTATCGTAGTATTAATTAAATTGGGTGATGAATCTGGTTTCGATACGCAATTCCTAATTTGATACATAATTCCACCTCCGCAAGTTCTCGAACACGAAGACCATTGGCTCCAAGCCGACCAAACGCCAGCAACTTTCGGGACTTTCGTCTTAAGTAGTCTTTCCTTGTACATCTCGTAGACCTGTCGACAGACGGAAGAATATAACAGTTATTATTGTAACAACATGAACTAAGAATAAAATTAAAGGAGTTAAAAAAAATCGTCTCGACAAAACAATACCCGCGTTTGTTCTTCATTTAAGGACAACAAACGGTTCTTTCCGTAACCGAAGTTACTCAGCACATTTCGCGTAACGTCGTCGTCGTCTTGCGTTTAAAGCGAAACCATTAATCTCTTTCTACTATAGGTACGGTACAGAAAAAACGTTACCGTTGCGGTAGGTTTTACATTTTCGATACCGACGCGACGTCATATTTTCGATTTAAGAAGCTTTAAAGCTCACGCGAGCACAAGAGCTTGGGCTGAACACGACTGATATCCCGAGTTACGAGATATCGAGGAAAAGATATACGATTTCTTCGAACTAAGAACGTTGGGATTCGTGATCTAGTACGGTTTTGATATCTGGTGGTCTACTAAGTCATTTACATACTACACTACTACAAACAGCAGTTCGTGAGATTAAATAAGACTTCTTTTTTTGTGCAAAATAAAAGTGAACTTGACCTTAACTTTAAACTTCTTCTATGTTTGTATTTTAGGTGATGTTGCTGGAGGTTGTAGACCATAACCTTGACCGAAAAGAAAATTTAATAGATCGTGTACTATTAACTGAATAAACAAGTTCTTTATCGATCTCTGCTAGAAAAAAAAATATCTCCCCAGCCCATTTCTAGTAGTAATAATACGTTTTGATCGACACCTCATTTAATAACCTGTATTAAATAATTTGATTTATCCTATCCCGCCTCTTCTATACATACACTCATCTTTTCATTTCATTTTTCTCTTTTATTTACTTCCTCAAAATTTATTATATCCGCGTTCCCTTCTTAACAACGGGTCAAATAAGAAGAAAAGGGGAGCCGAAAATAAGTAATTTAATCGAATGTCCGTATATGGCGGGTTTGGTTCAACCCCGGTCTCTTGTGTTTGATTTTTGTGGAACAATAGACCTGAAGATACGGTGACAATGGATTGGGCGGAGCTTGCCGATCTATCAGATGTCGAAAAACCGATTTATCGAGACAATATACCAAGAAAGAATGAAATAACTTTAGCGGTTTCAACGTTGTATACTTACTTTCGATGGGTATTTTCTCTTTGTCGTTAATTTAGCGCGGGTTGGTGATTGTGAATCGTTGGAGAGGCAAACATTTAACAGGATAAAAGCTATAAGAACCCTGCAATAAAAAAAATGAAAATTAATAATCAATAAGCATAAAGAAAATTTTCGAAGAATTTTTAGTATCTACCGAGAAACGTTCATACGTTTTATCGTGCATAAATCATTCACAAGAAAATAATTTTTGACATTAAATGTTTAACATTATGATTTAAGGAGATCTTAAGAATACATTGTAAATGGTATGTTTCGAATTATTTAAACCTGCGAGGTGTAATATTCAATTTAACTCCAACTAGAACCGAAACTAACCTGTTAAGTTGCCTCCAGCTAAAACTTGCGTTACTCTACCGCAAGGTGTATTTAAGATCATTTTACAACTTTAGACAACCAACTGACCCCAAGGTGCCCCTTTCTTGCTACTTCCAGACATGATTGACTGAAATGTTATAAATTGCAAAGGCGGAATTTCAAATTGGAAATGTAAATTTGTCCCCTATGGCTAAAAACTTTACCGTTTAAGCGTAATACCCGTATAATTATGTTTGAAAACTATTAAGTAATTTCTTTAATTTAGTTGTTAGATTTCTTATTCAAAATTTAAGGAATAATAAATGCTCTCCTGTATTTGTTCAATTGAAACTAAACTGATTTTTATTCATTGTTGGTATATAAGATACTGATTGTGAAAGTAAGAATGTTTCATCAAAAAAACAATTTCTTTTTTGTGCTACTATATCAAAATAAAATAACTACGGAAAATGAAGCTCACAACAAAACATTGTCTCATTTCATGAAAATCATGTAAGATCAAATAATGAACAGATATTATATAGTGCTTGGGTTCAAGCTAAAAGTAGAAAATAAAAATATGGAAAGTAATTATTTACAATTATTAAAATGTCACACATCAGGCAAAATCAGTTAACAATAAATGAAATACATGGAATGACCAACACCATTGAACGGGCCTTAGATAAGAAGTCTGCCTACATCCCGTGCAAGCCTTTCAAAAAAGTTTAGTACGAAGGCTTGATACACAAACTAAATGCTCCAGAAGTAATATGTAATAATATGTAAAGATATTAACATCGTACATCTCGGACAGTCTATTCAAAGTAAAACCAGACGACACTCGTACTTAGAAGAGATAAAAGCAATAGTGCCTCAAGGCATTAGATTTGCTGAAAAGCTTTACTGAAAAGAAGAAAATCTTGTTCTAGAAGACATCAATGGATAGACTCAAGTCAGCAAGTATACAGTTTTAACATTTGAGATAAAAATTAATAGTTAGTCTATAAGACTAGTTTTAATTTCCGGAACAATAGTAAAATAGTAAGGAAAAATATCAAGAACTAGAACATATGACTGAAGAGTCAAGCTACATTTGTCAGCGTGAAAGCAAAAACTTATCAGTGAGAGAAACATCAGTATTAACACTTTCTGAGCTAGCAAGGTAATATATTCATAGTGGGTGGAAATTTTAATGCAAAATACACTGAGGATCAAGATTAATCACAACCAAGGGAAAGGTGTTACTAAAACCAATAAATGAAAATAAATACTTATAAACTAGTAAATCATCGTGTTGGCCAACAGACTAAAAGAGCACCAGATCTTACAAATGGCAACAGTAAAAAATCTTGAATGTTTTCAGAATAAGATATTTTCCCAAATTGTACCCAAACCAGGAGACTCTCTGCATGAATATCTTAAGGCCTCTACAGACGGACGTTTATGTCCGCGTTGATGTATGCACATTCAAAAACGTAAATGTGTATGCAGAAGAACGTCACCTGTTTGAGTGCACACTCAAAAAGAACGACGCACAAAACTTCTGTCGGCTGTCGGGATTCGCTGTCAAGTCTCAACGTGTGGATGTAAATTGTGCGACGTTCATCAGTAGCGTCCAGTGCCCAGGTAAGTTCCATGTTTATTAGTACTACCAAATAAAGCAATGCATCATACATCGGCTAAAAGGAGATTTAAGAAAAGAAATTCTACCTCACTTGTAGACAAAGCTGATCAAATTTTGAATGTTGTTAGTGCAAGATTGAATGATCCTGGCGTGACGAGTTTTCGATTATAGGGAAAAATGTTGCTGCGAAACTTCGGAAATTGTCAGCAGAGACCAAGATTTATACGGAAAAACTAATAAATGACCTATTATTCCAAGCAGAACTTGGAAAAATTTCCGAAAATACGAAAATTATAACAGAAATAATCCAGCCAACAGGACGCAGTAACACCTTTAACCATCACCAATTTTGAACCAATTAGCAACAAATAACTTAATTAACACTTATTGCGACCGTATTATGCCTTTTAGACTTTTCAAAAGCCTTTGATACCATTAATCACGATTTGTTGTTTTCTATGTTGAAGTTTGTTGGTTTGGACGACATGGCAAGCGCGTTGTTACGTGATTACTTAAGAAATCGTCAGCAGAGAGTAATTGTTGAAAATGAATCCTCAGATGCTCTCTATTTGTCATCCGGTGTTCCGCAAGGTTCGGTACTTGGACCTCTTCTTTATACTATATATACGAGTCAGTTTGTTACATACATAAAATATTGCAAGTCTCATTTTTATGCTGATGATACTCAGTTGTATTATTCATTTCGGCCGGACGATGTGCGATTTGCTTGTGAGCGTGTTAATGAGGATCTGCAGAGTGTGGCCGATTGCTCTAGACGTAATAGTCTTCGGATTNGTTAATCGTTCGTGTACACTTATTGCCGGTCTCATGATTGTATTTTGACGTTGTATCAATGGAGTTACCATCTTCAACAGTAGCGAATAAGTATCTTCGTCCATTCTAAGATAATTACGCCAATCATCCGGTTCTATTGTCAATTCTGCCAATAGGTTAATGTGAGAAAACCTTTGCCGTTGCAGAAGCCAATTTTTACACCACACGCGGCGAGTTTTATTTTTTTTATTCTTGATTTTGAGCACATTAGCGCACGCCACTGCTGCCAACGCTAAGTCAACCACTTCCTTGGACATCGTTCAGCCACTAAGCAAAACTGCGGATTTTGTACGTGCGTCTGTACGCTGACCTAGCATACGTTTTTGTATGCACGTTTTTGGATGTGCAAACATCAACGCGGGCATAAACGTCCGTCTGTAAAGGCCTTTACAGACTGACATCATTGCTGCCAGTAACTCTTATACACATGCGATATACCCCTATTAGAAAACATTATTATTGCCACTTTTGCTGATGATATAGCTATATTGGCAGTAGGAAGAAACAATGAAAAGGCGACTATTAAACTACAAACAGCAATCAACATAAAAAGTAGCTGGACTAACAAAATGAAAATCAGACTAAACAAAGAAAGTAGTAAGAAATGGCATTGATGCACTTTGGTAGCTGGAAATAAAAACTGTAGACGAAACTATTAGAAAGAAAAAGACACAAGAGAAAAAAAACCAATTTGAATTAGTGTAGTTGCTTATGAGCTTGTAAATGTACATAATAAGGGTATTGTGATTGATAGATATTTTTTTTTGTAATATGTTTTCCCACAATTTTTAAAAATACCCAACTTTAATACATGAACAACCCTTTTTTCCTAATAAAACAATTATAACCCTACCCATAGTTACCAATTACCCCCTTCTCTTTCAAAGACATTTTGATAAATGTCCCTATCGGTTATACAGCACCATGTTAATCAATTCATAATCGCCCATTACAATTCGTCGCCTTTACTAACGAGCTTTAGTCACGCAAACTTCCTTCATATAGTGTATATTTCAATTTGAGTCGTGGTGCATTGTTAAAATTCACTCCCCGCTGTTAAGGACGTGGGGTAATAATGGACGACTACTTCGACTACGAACACGAACGTCGGGCGAAAAATCCGCATCAGCGACTTGCCGATGATAATATTAAAGCGAAACGTCTTTCGGATGCCGGGTTAGATGGGAGGAGAAGTACCGATGAAGATCCGGAATTGCTAGATCAATTCGATAATTTTTATCAGACGACTAAGAGTTTGTTGGTTTTGTTTCAAATTATGGGGGTGATGCCTATTGAACGATCTGGAAAAGGAAATACCACATTTAGGTGGGTTTTGTATTGTTAAGTTGTATTGTTGTTAATAATATTCGACGTGCAAAGAGGAGTTTAAAATTTAAACCTTCGCATTTATAAGGTTTAAGTCACATATGTTACTGGATTTGTAGCAAAACGAATAATACCGAGGGTAATCAAGATCAAGAATAATCTCTTAATCGGATTATATAAATAAATATGAATTACGAATTTTCTAAAACGGTTCATTAAAGTAATTTAACTTTTTTCTTTAATTTTAGGTGGTTTTCAGGAACTGCAATCTACGCATATGTTATATTTGCCGCTGAAACTGTATTTGTAACCATAGTTTTTAAAGAACGTCTCCTATTAATTCTTCAAAAAGGTAAACGTTTCGACGAATATCTCTACGGTATAATTTTCTTAAGCATCCTGGTGCCTCATTTCTTATTACCGATAGCTGCGTGGACTAACGGCAATGAGGTGGCAAAGTTTAAAAATATGTGGACGAGATTCCAATTAAAATATTACCGAATAACGGGTACCGCGATTATTTTTCATAACTTATCGTTAATAACATGGAGCTTGTGCATATTTTCTTGGGCTTTAGGAATAGCATTAATGGTCGCCCAGTATTATCTGCAACCGGACATGCAATTATGGCACACCTTCGGTTATTACCACATCTTGGCAATGTTGAATTGTCTGTGTTCGTTATGGTTTATAAACTGTACGGCTAAAGGCCGCGTGGCTAAAGATTTAGCTCAAAATCTTCATTACGCGTTAGAATCTAACGATCCAGCTAGTAAATTAGCAGAGTACAGAGACTTGTGGGTCGATTTATCCCATATGATGCAACAATTAGGAAAAGCTTACAGCGGAATGTACGGAATGTACTGCATATTAATACTTTTAACCACAATCGTTGCTAGTTATGGGTGTTTAACAGAAATTTTGGACCATGGGTTATCGTTTAAAGAAGCTGGTTTATTTCTTATTGCTTTTTACTGCTTGAGTTTGTTGTTTATTATTTGTAATGAAGCTTATCATGCCTCCGCTAAAATGGGACCTGGATTTCGGGAACGATTACTTAATGTAAATTTAGCAGCTGTAGATACAAGAACAAGACAGGAAGTTCATATGTTTTTGACGGCTATTGATAAAAATCCGCCTGTTATGAATTTGAATCAATATACGGATATTAATAGAAAACTTATTTCAAGTGTAAGTATACAACATTTTTTTGGAATCACAATATTCGTCATAAAGTCATTCATGTTGAGTTCTGCGAGGGTATACAACTTTACCCTCGCAGAGCAACACTGCTTTTTTATTAAAAATCTCTTTATTGTGGCATACTTCGAGAACAGTTAGAACATCACACTTTAACAGAGCCCCCTGTTATTTATAGTTGTATGTTTGATGACGTTGGTGTTTTCTGGATGAACCTTCTTCTTCAATGTAATATCAACCCTGATATCCCATCAGTACTTTATTTGTTATCACACACATGATATCAGACGCCTTTCTGTATCGTCCCAAAAATCCCTGAATATTGTTTCTGAGTTGTTGTCCTAGGCACCCTTGAGTGTCATTCTTAGTACACATAAGCACCTTTCCAAGTACTTCGTCCCGTCATCCAAGTACATCTCTCGAGCATCCCCAATATCATTCCTGGAATATCTCAAATCGTTCTCGACATCCCTCAAGATCATCCCGGGCGGTTCAATATTATCCGGGAAATACTTGAAGCCCAAATTCGACTAAAAACATGTATTACACATTAGAAACATCACATAGATACATATTAGTAGCTTCTGATATGCTACCTTGCTATTAAATAATTTAAGATAGCTCTGACAAAATGTGATACTCGTGCATTTTACTGGTTATTAGCTTGCTTTTCAGAATATGTACTTATTACATAGTACATGAGACATCTGGTTGTTAAGCAGTAAAAGCATATCGAAAACTTCAAGCATGGAAATAAGTTTATGCTAATTTTAGCATGAAGCAATATTTTCTAGTAACTACAATACTGTTTAGTATAGGTACGCAATATATAGTAAATTAATTTTCCGGTGCTAGAAGATATAGGAAGCTTTTTAGAGAAACATAACAGAAGCTTCTGATATGTTACTATTGTGCTTCTATGCAAGTTAAGATAGTTTTGGCAAAATGTCACAACCTCTGGTAGAAATACTATAAAAGTTATCTCCATACTTTTATCTTATATTTTACTTCCTTCACATAAAACGCGACGTAAAACGTAAAACTCCTTTAGATTTTCTTGATACAGCGATAACGCAGACTCATTAAACCAAAAATCGGCATTCAATACCTGTCGTTTCAAAGTGTTAAAACAATATAACATTATAATATTTTAAAATAAGTATAATACAAAAGATGATAATAATAATAATGAATGTGCATTCAATTCTCATAGTTAATTAAAATTCCGATTGCGTGTACAAAACAATAATGGCAAATGAGATCATATACAGTTTGCGCGAGATTGTCAATCATCGTATCTCTCTCTTTTTCTCATCGTTTCATCTTGAAGATGAATAGATACCGCCTCATTGTCGATGTTCGATCGAAAATTATTAATTGCGTTACTTGGTGGGTTGCATGCCGAGGTTCATACGTGCCTGTTGTTGCTTCTCTGGTCGGGGTAATCTACGTACGTGATGGATTACCGGTCGAGAAACGCATTACAACGGTTCTACATAGATATAATTCGCACTATGCGTGTACTCATTCACGGCTCGGGGCAAAAGAAATGGTTACGGTGTGGCGCCAAGAATGTGATTTATAGATATAACTGATTAGAATTTCTAATTGCTGTTTAATTAGCATGTTCTTTTTATTCCTATCAAGGAATTCTGTTTTATAAACAAATGATAAAGTGGTAATTTAATCACAAAGGCGGAAAAGTAATATGTTATAGTTGCTAATTTGGAATACCATATTTAGATTTTTTGTTGTAGACTTTAACCTCAATGGCAACATACTTGGTGATGTTAATGCAGTTTAGAGCTACCTTAATGCGAAATTCTGCGTTACAAGTACATCGAACGGCATCGAGCAATCTCAATAAAACGATATGAGGCGTAGTAGAATGAAAGAAAGTTCTGCAAGGTAAGTATTCGTGATGGTTTTAAAGTGGGCCCGCATCTTCGCAAAAGGGCAAGTAATAAAACTGGAAAAATAAAAATGCAATCGCCTAAGAACGAAACGAAAAAAAGGTAGAACAAAACAACCATCTAAAAGCTTTCTTTCATTTTTCGCAACGTTCACTGGTTTTAGCTATTTTTATTTTTTTTTTAGAATAATAATACCAACCTGACATTTCCTCTGACATTTTTCCCTTCAACATTTCAGCTCTCAACTTTAATTTTAGGTCGTTGACTTCGCAAGATTTTTTTTCTTTTATTATTTTATGCTTATTATTTCATTCGATTAGATTCTATTGGGTATTGTATACATTTTTATTATCTCTTAAAAAAAATCTAAACTTTCTATTGTTGCCTTTAACAATAAATAAAAAAAGATTTTATGCATAATGTAATCAAATTACTTTTGTGTTTGTATTTATTATTACATTCTTTATCTGATTAAACAAAAATAATGTGTGGAAATCTTTTTAAATGTCAGTCAAATAATTTAAAAAGGCACATGATAAATGAACTTTAAAATAGTTTCTATTTTTAATACACTTTAATCGTTAAGGTTAGAAAATGATCAATAAAAGGAACAATTATCGCACTTTATTCAGATGCATTAGCATTTAATTATTGAGTTGTACATTGAAGTGAATAGATTCTTAATTGGTTACAAAATGGAAAGTGAAATTTAAAGATCATTATTCAAGATCGTTCTAAAAGTTTTAATACAGTGAAAAAAGTTTATAGTGAAGGTAATAAATAAATTCCAACCTAAATGTCGTTTATAATTGACCATTTTGAACACAATAAAGGCGTAAATTGCTTCAAAGTTTGTAATTGCTTTTTTTTTGTATTTTTGTGTTATTAGTTGCCGAGTGTGTTCAAGAATAAAAAAACACCAACTCTTCTTTATGTTACTAAAGAGACATAAGTTTACGTATACGTGACGAGAATGCAGTTGATTTAACTAATATAATATTAGACAACAAATTTGAAGAATTGGATGTATTCATGAAGACGTCATTTGCAGAGGAACCTTAACCGCCGAAGAAATTATTGCTTCAGTGCAAGTTCAAAACGAAAACAATAATAGTTACCATAAAGATGGATTCATTATAATCGGACATCACATTTCATGATTTTTTACTCAAAAAAACGTTTACAACTCATAAATATTAGTTTATTGTGTCATTAAGTTATTAATTTTAAATTTTCTAAACCGTTATATATCATAAAATAAGAATTATGTACACATTTCTAAGAACTAATTTCAATTTTACAACCAAGCAATTAAAATTTATTCGCTTAAAACAATTAAGTTTATAATCATAGCGTGTTGAAATTAGTTCGAAATGAAATCAACTACAAATTTAGATAGCAGATAGTAAATTGCTTTGTAAATGTAAACACCGCGAGATCGTTTTGTATAAAATATCTAAAACACATCTCCTCTTTCTCCTTTATTCTTATATTCCACCGCTAATATAATTTCATTTCTAATAAACCGTAGTATCGTCATATTCATAGCATTGTTAAATAGTTTACAGTCAGCACGTTAATTGACCCGTATAATAAGATAAACTCCATTCATAACTATATTAGTATTATTGAATGCAGCACGGTTTTATGCATAAAAATCCTTCTTATGTAAATAGGTCGCGACAATTTTCCTTTTTTTATTTAAACCTAAATTTTAATTGGTAATAAAAAATTTTTGAAAGCATACAAAGACTTTATCAAAGCGTGTACTGTTTTCTGAAATGGCTAACGGTTGTTTTGATTGAATTTTACGTTTATCGCAAAAGAGAGATTTTAAAACGGTCGTAAAATATGTTATCAATAGAACTATTAGTCAACTAATTATAAAAGGAAAAAATAAATAAATAAACGAAATTGTCTTATTTTAAAGACGATATTAATACATTCATTTAAATTCTGATGGAGTTAATAAGATAAAAAAGATTTTCGTTTAAATTTACGAACATTTTGTAACTTAAACCAGATTGAAGTAACTAGATAAAACGTAAAATGTAAATCAGTGCGTATAGATGATATCTTGTTGCAATTTAGAATTTGCAAACTCGACTTTCCTCTGCGTACAACGTCAATAACTGTCAAGGAAAAACGATTTTTTCCCATCCACGATGCCGATTTATTGACGTTAGTGGCACAATAGTAGCTTTCATGATGGTCAAAGACGCGTGGTTTTGCAATTTTACCGTTTCATTACTGAACATTACTAACGTTGAATTGCATAAAATACATTTGTTTTCTTTTTATGTCCTTATAAATTTCATTTAATCACCAATAAACAAATTTTAGTAATTGAATCAATTTTTACATTGTTTTTACTAATCGAGCAATAACTATTCTTTTAAGAAAAGTGATTAAGATCAAAAGACCATCTGGTTTAAAAGAAAGAAGACATCACAATAGATTTCCGAAAGCAACGTCTTGAGACGCATCTCGACAAACTAACAAAACAGTTTATTGGCCACTAAAATCCGTTTATAACACTTTGTGAGATCAAACGGTTGAAGTTTAGAGTTGGAGTTTATCCTGACGGTTACATGCACTTTGTTGCGTAATACATGCAGATAACTAAGTAGAAAGAAAATTATTTAATTTTTTCTCTCTTCGTCCATCTTGTTCTTCTTCTTGTTCACTAAATTGGTGCCACTAGAAATCGTCGTTGTCGTGAAGTGTTTTCGGCTATCTGTGCACTTAACACTTTAAATTGATGAATAAAGCATGGAGGGAGTTATCTGGTCGTCGAAGACGTTGACGGATCATGTGTGTAAAAGGGTTCTCAAATTTGTAGTTTGTAACGGAAGCCAGGCAATATATGTGGAAATCGTGAGATATACGAAAATTACATCGTGTGATTTCGCGAACGGTTTTATAAACAGATCGTTTTTAGTTACGCTCTCGCCAAAATAGCAATGACCTAGATTGTCGCTTGTAATATGTCATTGGGTAGACAAACTTTATGCAATCGATTAACAAGATTAACTTTAAAACATTTTTATCAAAATTTGAATAGGCATAAATTACATAAACGTAATTTGAATTGACATCAATCATGAATAGAATGAAGAATTAATTAATTAAATTATTTCAATCAAACCCAATTCTATGATATTAATTTGTAATTCTACGATTTTAATTGTGTAATCTCACGCACTTTATAAAACCATTAATTCATGTTTTAGCTTAGAACAGAAATAAATAGTTGGTACTAATACGTTTTTTCATAGAACTTCCTTTATCCATTTCTTGCAATTTACCCCCTTATTAGCTGGGTGTCTTATTTATCACACTAGAGTTTATTCAATTTAATAGAACAATAAAAATAGAAATATGGGAATAAACTTTAGAACACCATTGTGTTGTAAATTTCGTGGTATTTTTTAATAATAATAATAATAATGTTTATTGCCTCAAAAACAATTATTTACATAAATATATACATTCATAACAAATATAGACATCAAGACAAACTTGTTCGATAAATGCCCACTGAGTTTGTCTAAAGAGGTTAAATATCTGGGTATCACTCTGGATAGCAAACTAGCGTGGAAGTCACACCTAGATAATAGAGTAAAGAAAGCTAGTTGGCCAGTGCCGAAGGGCAATTGGGAAGACATGGGGTTTGTCACCCAAATCTGCCCTCTGAATTTATTTCATATATTCATTTATTTTTTATTTTTTCTTATACAGGGTGTCCCGTTAAGCGTACGGAGCGGCTGTATCTCTAGAACGGTAACTCCAAGAGGTTTGGGAAAAAAATCCTTATGAGCAAAGTGACCAAGAGAAATAGCTGGAAATTATTTTGAAGTTCGTAATTCGACCGCTAGGGGGCGTAACTGCCATTAAGAAACATAAAGTTGCCGCTATCTCAGAAACTTAGACGATGAGCTATAACTTTGACACCATCATTTAATAGCTTGGATAATACCGCATCGCTTTTGTTTTGCGATATTTCTCATATCTGTCATAATAAGGGAGGGGGAGGCCAATGCGTTTTCATATGTTTACATTTTAATATCTCCTAGACCATTCAACCGATTTGAATGTTTTCGGTGTTGTTTGAAAGAGCATTTTATGCTCTTTTTAAAGATATTTTCAGTAAGACCGTCTGCTTTAAAACAAATGAGCTAGAGGACGTTATCTGCAGCGATTACATATTTTTGTGATTTTTGAAGAAAAGTTAAATGGAACGATACTATTTACTTCACAGACCCTTAGTCACCTTAAAATTTGCTAAATTTTAGTGAAAACCGCATCTCGATATCGCCACCCGTTCTCGAGTTATAGAAGAAAATGTTAAAAACTCGAGTGCCATCAATCGGATCCAGTTACCTCATCGAGAAAAACAAATCACATAACCATGGTAACTGTAAACATGTCATTTACTAACGCAGAAGCGTATGATAGAGCGTATGATGATTTATTTTCAATGTTTCGAATACGATGCAACTGCATGGCAAAAATGTGCAATGCAATTACGACAAAGAAAGACATTTTTCTCTAGAAGTGTTTTTAAGATTGACTTAGCGATTACGGAAAACTGGCAACGTGTAGCCCATTCAGACATCTCTATGAATTCGTAAATCACATTGGTGCGCAATGTGATCCCACATAATCTGGGAACTCCGAAAACAATTGTCCACAAGAGTTCTCAAGAGAATAATATCTCCACCACGTTGTTTTACATCAGGCCTTAACAGATACCGATTATGATAACAGACTGAACTATTACCATTGACTTTTAAATATGATTTGGGCAAATCCAAACCTTTTATCACAAATGCTATGGATGCATGAAGCATCTGTCCACAAGCTGATGTAAACTTGCATAATATGCATTCTTGGTTCGAGCAAAACCCACATTGCTTTCACCCCTTTATCTATTGGGTAGACTAAACGACCTGACTTTTCAAGAAAAACCAATAACCAGGGAAAATATGACAAAACACTAAATACCAGTAGAAACGTGTCCAGGGCCGAGACTTAAGCAGCGCTTTTTTTTCGTCGAAACTAGATTAAATAAATGCATCGAGGTTTATGGAAGGCATTTCGCACATTAGTGAGTTATTTTTGCCAAAAATTTAAGTTATTCTAAGTGTTTTGGTTTATTTTGTTTTATTATCATTGTTGATGTTTCATTGATCCGTTGGCTTTTCAACACGCCTCAAAAGTAGTTTTGAAGCAGTTCTAAGCTTGGATAAAGTGTGAAGGAAGGTTCTAGATAATAAAATTTTTGTTCTCTCTTATTTGTTTCCTAAGGTAACTTGATCCGATTAAGATATACGAATTTTTAACATTTTCTTTTATAATTCGAGAATGGATGGAGATATCGAGATGCGGTTTTCACTAATATTTAGCAAATTTTATGGTGATTAACGGTCTGTGAAGTAAATAGTACCGTTCCATTTAACTTTTTTTCAAAAATCACAAAAATATGTAACCGCTGCAGATAACGCCCTCTAGCTTATTTGTTTTAAACCAAGCGGTCTTACTGAAAATATCTTTTAAAAGAGCATGAAATGCTCTTTCAAACAAGACCAAAAATATTCAAATCGGTTGAATGGTCCAGGAGATATTAAAATGTAAACATTTGAAAACGCATTGGCCTCCCCCTCCCTTATTATGACAGATATGAAAAATATCGCAAAACAAAAGCGATGCGGTATTATCCAAGCTACTAAATGATGTTGTCAAAGTTATAGCTCATCGTCTAACTTTCTGAGATAGCGGGAATTTTATGTTTCTCTATGGCAGTTACGCCCCCTAGCGGTCGAATTACGAACTTCAAAATAATTTCCAGCTATTTCTCTTGCCCACTTTGCTTATAAAGATTTTTTTCCCAAACCTCTAGGCCTTACCGTTGTTGAGATACAGCCGCTCCGTACGCTTAACGGGACACCCTGTACATAATGTCAATTTAAATGTATTTGTTTTTTGTTTGTTATGTTACATTTAATATGAAGTTAGATTAAGCCCCACTGAAAAATATTTATTTTGCTTCATTTTTGTATTATGATAGTATTTAATAAAGGCGTTTATTATTATTATTATTATTATAAAGAGAAAGATTTACACAAACGAAATTCTATAAAGCCTATCAGTACTTTTATTAGAGTTATAGAAATCTAGTC